CCTGCTGAAAAAACGCTGCTGCAGCTTTGTGTGCTGTGATATGAGAAGTTGGATGCTGTTAGTTCCCTGTGATAAAGCAGTTTTCTGTCTACTGGCTCTTAGATTTTTTTGTTTGGCAATCTGTCAGACAACCGGAATTATTTTGCTGTCTGCTGTTCATGATTTTTCTTCAGGTTTATGGCTTTTGACTTAAAAAAAAAAAAAAAAGAGGGGGCCTAATCTGTGTTGTTAATTTGACAGTAGCAAAGAGTGTTAAATTAGTGGATGTTTGCACTCAGAATGACAGGTTGGTTTCGCACTGGGAAGCACACGGATCTGCCCTTGTTATATGTCACTGTGTTTGAAAGATGCAAAAATTCATGCAATATATTGCTTTTTTAAAAAGGACCTTGCCTGTGCATAAATTACAGTTCAGAGGCTTACAGCCATTTAGTGTGAAGCATGATGACCGTGGTGTGTTGATATTTGTTGTTGTAAACACTGGTCTACAGAAATCTTCAGTATCATTGGGAAGAGGATGCAGCTTAAGAAGTAACTGAGACTCAAACCTGCCCCTTTGATGACTGGGAAACTTGGAACCTTTTTTTACCCACTCTTTGCCACCTTCCAAAGAAAATCCCTAGTGCTGGTGCAAGGCTTTGAACAGCAAAATCCAGTGTAATTATTAACTGAGAATTTTCTCCATGCTGTGGGGCTGCTACTTTTTACTGATCTGGCATCAGTGCCCCCAGAGTATCGGCTTCTTGTGGAGGCTGTTGGCTCAAGTACTTGAGGAACCATCCTACATAGGTACTTTGGAGGGGGAGGTGGGGAAACGCATCTGCTTTCTAATTGCAAAGCTGCGTGCTGAACATCAGAGGGGCCGATTTAGTTCAATGTTGCTCTTGCATGTTAGAGCAGCACCACTATTTTGGTCAAATAGTGCAGTAACAGGGCTCCAGTGTTGACACAAGCCTGGAGTTCTTTCAGTTTAACCACAAGGCTACACGCTTGAGTTATTAAATAATTTTTTTGTTTAATTGAACTATAATCTTCGTTAGTCTCCTGGCTGACAGCTGGGTTTTAATGCGCGTGAGATCAAAACGCTGCATCCAGGGGATGATGAGACGCTTCACGGCCAGCCGCGGGTCCAGCTCCAGCCCGGCTGCCTCCTCACCTTTGCGGGCCTGAGAATTTTCTCCATGCTGTGGGGCTGCTACTTTTTACTGATCTGGCATCAGTGCCCCCAGAGTATCGGCTTCTTGTGGAGGCTGTTGGCTCAAGTACTTGAGGAACCATCCTACATGGGTACTTTGGAGGGGGAGGTGGGGAAACGCATCTGCTTTCTAATTGCAAAGCTGCGTGCTGAACATCAGAGGGGCCGATTTAGTTCAATGTTGCTCTTGCATGTTAGAGCAGCACCACTATTTTGGTCAAATAGTGCAGTAACAGGGCTCCAGTGTTGACACAAGCCTGGAGTTCTTTCAGTTTAACCACAAGGCTACACGCTTGAGTTATTAAATAATTTTTTTGTTTAATTGAACTATAATCTTCGTTAGTCTCCTGGCTGACAGCTGGGTTTTAATGCGCGTGAGATCAAAACGCTGCATCCAGGGGATGATGAGACGCTTCACGGCCAGCCGCGGGTCCAGCTCCAGCCCGGCTGCCTCCTCACCTTTGCGGGCTCCCGACCGCTGCCCCGTAGGTTTGCTCTCGCTGCCCTTTTCGGGGGGATGTGCCGAGATCAGCAAGCTCTGGAGGTGGAGGTCTCCCCTGGGGTGTCAATCCCCGGCCATTTGTGCGGGGAGCAGCCCTGCCGAGTGTACCTGTGCCCTGACATTTGCATGACAAAGCCACTTCTTGTTGCTGCATCTGTTGCCTCGAGGTGTTAGGCAGGATTAAAAAGCCGCCCTGGGGTGCTGAATCTCCTTTTTTTCCACCCAGCACAAACCCTTGGAAGGACCCTGCTCCCTGCAGACTGCCCGGGGGGGGGGATGCACCCCTGGGAAAAAGCAGCCAGAGCCAGGACCAGGACTGACTCTGATGGAGGTGGCCTGGGCTCGCTATGCCAGTAAATGCCTCTTGGAATGAGAAAAAAGTTACTTTCACCAACATATGTAGGAAAAAAACCCACAATATTTTTTTTTAAAAAAAGCAAGCGCTTTAAATTCTTGCTCTTTAAAATAAAACAATATAAATCTGTAGTCAGACACGACGTGTCTAATAAGCCTTAAAAGAAGGAAACTGAAGTGTAGTTTCAGTGCAGGGGAGAGGTTTTATTAGAAGGATTTCTCAGCTTCCAAAAGCTATTGCTAGAGTGGTCTCATATTCCCTTTCCCCCCGGTTTCTTATTTTACTGAAAACGGATTTGCCTTTTACAAGTTGCAGTTGTAGGAGCAGGAGTGTTAATTACAAGTTCTGGTACAAGGCTTGCCCCGCAGTACACATCCGTATCTGACTGCGGGTAAGTGAAAAAGCAAAGCAGTTCTTTTTGGTTGGCTGCAGGAAAAGTGGCACATGCTGGTACTAAAACCGCAGTAACACCTGGTGAACGTGCATCCTGTGTGCTCGAGATAGTTTTTGGTGGTTTCTCAGCATCGTGGGGGTACTGAAGGTGGGAGGTGGAGACAGCTGTGGGTGTTTTTTGTTTTGTTAGTTTTGGGGTAGCAAACCTTTCTCATCTGTATGCTGGGAATGTGGGGACAAAGGAGCTGACTGAAGAATAATAATTTCTCTTGTGTGTTAAGTTCATCCAGAAAATAATTTTGTCTTTGTTCCTCCGTCTGGCCCAATTATTTAAACTTTCTGTGGGAAGACAGAGGATTTCTGCAACATCCCTTTTGTCTCTTCTTATCGGTTGTTTGGGTCGGGGTTTATTTCTTTGTGGCTAAACTGTCTCTTTGTAGCAGCTGGAGGTGTTAAATAGGTTGAGGGATACAATCTATAAACACCTTCCAGTGACTTGCAAAACACAGCATATACATTTGAAAATGATGAGGAATTCCAGTAAGGGGGTCTGAACCCAAAGAACAACATTTAAATGCAAGACCCTCCTACCTTGCCCAAGTTTTAGATATTCCTTGGGTGCATCTGCATGACAAGAGGTGTAGAAGTAGCTTCTGTCTTGAAGAGCTAACAGCTCAGGAGAAATTGTGTGGATAATATACAGGCAGGAAGGAGGATGAAGGTGGAAATAGCAAGAATGAATGGCTACAAAGCCCCAATAAGAGGGGTTTATTTCCCTAACTGCATCTTGCTGTGCCTCTGAAAGCAGGTTGGTTCACTTGCTTGTGCGGAATTTTTGGGACCTCTAGGGGAATGTATGGGAGTGTTAGAGCTAGCATATCCAGCTACAGAAGGACATGAACCTCATTTCTTATAATACTTTTGTTTCCTGAGGGTCAGCTTCTGCCAACTGTGTGATTCTAGGCACTTGCTGGGAGCCGTGGTCAGCTGAAAGCTCCATGGCCCAGTATGAAACAGACGTTGTAGCACAGATGTTGGGGCTCAGCTCCTGCTCCCGTATCACCAATCAGAAAGCTTTTGCACTAATTCCCAAGCTGACATCAGAGCAGGATGCTCCAAGGACCATAGGCAGCTGTGTTCCTGTCACACGTCTCTTTTCTTCTCTGTGCAACCTCAGATCCATGCTGAAGGAAATGAGCTGCACAGGCAGCCAAGGGACTCGACAAGCCAGAGCTGCTCGTCCAGCACCGAGGCTCTGTTGCTTCACCCTGCACGCTGTGTGTCTTCCAGGTAGCTTCTTAACTAACTTCAAGATCAGATGAAGAAGAGCACAAGGCTTCCCAATGCTGTGGAAGCAAAACTTGCTGGGGTTCAT